CGCCTCGACGGCGATTCCGCGCCCCGCGCCGCGTAGCAGGATGGCCACGCACGGCAGCAGCGCCGGCCTGAGGACCTCGGGCCCGCCCCGGCACAGCGCCGCCAGGCTGTCGGCGGCAGACCCCACGACGTTGCCCGCGGTCTCCTCGCACGAGCTTCGTGCTGGAGCCGAAGGGCTCAGGCGGCCGAGGATGGCCGAGAGCGTCCAGACCCGATGACACAGCGCAGCCATCTCTGGCACGGAGGCCCCGGCGACCCGCTCCGCCGCGCAAGCCACCGCCCGCGCCAGCTCGGCGGCGCGGGCCTGCACTGCCGCACCGCTGGCCGTGCACAGCGACACCACGCACCAGCAGTCCGCCACGCTGTGCAAGCGCCACTGCACCTCCAGGTCCACGAGGGCCCCCAGCGTGGGCGGCTTCTGCAGCACCGACTCCAGGGCGGCCCGCAGCCCGGCAGCGGCGCCGAGGTCCTCGCCGGCGGAGCCGGGCAGGGCGCAGGCGAGAGCGCGGCACAGGTGTGAGGCCCACCGCTCGCGGGCGCCCGCCGCCCGCTCGAGCAGCCCGCACAGCTGCCCCACGTGCGGGCGCAGCGCGGCCGGGGCGCCCACGGCGAGCGCCTCCAGCAGCGCGGCCCAGGCCACCCGGTCGTCCACGGCGGCCGCGGCCGCGCCGCCAGCGCCCGCGAGCAGGCCCGCGACGGCCGCGGCGGCGAGCTCGACGGCGGGCCGCCCCGCCGGGTCGGCGCACCACTCCGCCAGCTGGTCAGGGAGCCGCGCCGCCGGCGGCTCCGCGCGGCCGCCCGTCCTCTGCGCCGCGAGGCGCCCGAGCGCGAGGCCGAGGCCCTCCCAGGTGGTCCAGGGCGGCTCCAACCGCGGATCGCCGAGGGCCGCCCGCAGCTCCGCCGGCATGCCCTCCCAGGACGCCTGGGCGGAGAGCAGAGGCAGTACCAGTGCCACGCCGGTCGGACACCCCCGACAGCGTGCTGCCGCTTCTGGAAGCAGCACGCTCAGCGTCAGAGGCGACGCGGGTGCCCTTGGTACTGCCTATCGCTCCCCGAGCCTTGGCGGAAGGGGGTGTCCGAGGCTCTGGAGACATCGCGACCGGAGCGGGTGGGCGGCACCCTGCGGGGCGAAGTGCAGCTCGGGGGGGGCCGTGGGGTGGAGGGCGTCTCGGCGCCAGAACGGCCGTGGCGTGAGCATCAAGATGACATGCCAGGACGCTGCCTTGGCGCACACGAAGGCCCGAAGGTACCTACCAGGGCGCTTCCTCAGGGCGCCCGCAGGTACCTGCCAAGATGCTTCCTTAGGACTCCCGAGGGTACCTGCCAGGACGACTCCATGGGGCGCCAGAAGGTGCTTGCCAGGACGCCTCCTTAGGATGTTGCAAGATCTAAGTGGCCCTGACCACAGGTGGCCCCAACTTTCCCCAGGGGATACGACCCAAACGATCGCCACAATTTGAAAACGGTATGCCCCCGATCCGTAGAATCGCTGCACACGTTCAAACATATTATGGTAATCAAATGTGCGACTCAAGCGACAACCACATTTGGAAAACGAGGCGAATTATATCCGTGTAGGTGCTTGGTGGCGACGTGTTAAAGCAAAGTCGCGCTGCGTGTAGGCCAGACCAGCCTTTGGGAAACCACAAGCCCTGCATCCATGTAAGTATTAGAAGCGTATTATATCAATGCTGCCTCAGGATGGTAGGTTGCAGGGAAGCCTGAGGCGAAACGCCCGTGGTCGACACGAGAAGCGATGTCCATAAAAGAGGGATGAAAGAGTGATGGATGAGGAGTAGAAGGAGGACTGCGGGAGGGAAAGCGAGTAGCCAGAGTCAGAACGCACTGGTTGGGATCCACGCTGGCTAACATTCTTCCGAGAGAAGAGACTACGCCATGCACGTGCGCCAGCTGCGCGCTGCACGCCACGCGGTGCAAGGCGTGCGGTGCAAGCTGTGTGGTGCTGAGGTGTGTGGTGTAGGCTTGCGTGGTGCGGGCTACGTGGCAGTTCCACGAGGAGGAGGAGGAGGAGGAGGAGGAGGAGGAGGAGGAGGTAGGCCTATGTGTGTAGGCTTGTGGTACAAGCTCTCTAGGCTCCGCGCGGCGCCCACGGGCGCCCACGGGCGGGCGCACCCGGCGAAACCTCCGCATGACCCACCCGGCGCACGAGAGGCGCCCACGAGGCGCCCACGAGGCGCCCACGGGCCGGGCACCGGGCGAAGCCCCGGCGGACCCGCCCAGCGCACGAGGCGCAGCGAGGCTCCACGGGCGTCCCAGTGGCCTTCAAATCTGTCTGGGAGGGACGGCTGCGTTTTAGATATGTTGGACCCTTGAGGTGCAACAAGACATGCATGATTTCAACAAGCGATGCACGAAGCACCCCTGGCCGAGGCTGGTGGGGCACGTGTATCGGTCACACGCTGACATGTTGTACGGATCCCTGGATCTGGAGCAGCGTCGCCAGATCCATGGACCGGGAAAAAGATTCCCCGAGACACGAA